GGACGACTTATTTTAAAGTCGTCTGGGCAGACGACTTGCGAGGGCTAGAAACGTAAAAAAAATTCGCGTTTTTTGTTTGTTCACAAGGAGTTGGTTGTAATTTCAATAGCCTTTTAAGTTACTTTTGCATTTGATTCAAGTTTGGGTTTACTTTTGCATTTCAAATCAAGTTTTGAGTCATATTTGGCAATTTTCCCATCAAACTAAGTACTTGAGATTTAGTTCTTCTTGAATCCTCCTTCTCAAAACATTATTAGATTTTCCTTTTTTCGAGATTGCATTTCCTGTTTAGTACTCTTCTTTATTGTTACTACCGTAATAGCTATTAAAAACATAATTACCAAACTATCACTAATGTTATTTTAGTTACTAACATAAAAACTAATTCCACTAAGCTAATAGAAATTCGAACATTTTTGCCATTTAAGACAGCCATGAGTGTGACTAAGATCCAGGATAGAAACTCCAGTTAGACTCCATTTACCATTAGACCATGACAACTTGGTTAAAACCAATGAATTTTCCAAATTAAAATTCATAGATAGTGTATTTAAAAAATTATCCCTTTATTTATAACTAAATACTAATTTTTTATTAATTTGTGTGAAAAAATTAGAAATTTTTTTTTTTTGTCAATAGAAATGAAGCTTTTTAACAGAATAATATTATATAATAATATAATATAATAACAGTAGTTTTGACTTTTACTTTGCACAAATTTATTAGGTACAATCTCATTGTATAAATACGCCACTGCATGTAATTCTTGTAATTTATAATTTATAAAACAGTATAATATATAGATTAAGTTATTTATATATATTATTTACTGTAATATTATAATTATAAATATGAGATATGTATATAAAATATTACAGAAATATTATTTCTTGTTCTATATATCAAAATGAACTAATACTAATAAAATTTAAAAATCATACGCATTTCTTATTTGAAATAAATATTGAAAAGTAAATATCTATATTTTAAATAAAAATATACTAAAAGATATTATTAAAATGTAATATCAGAAAAAGATACTTAATAATATTTTTGATATTTTATTTTGAAAGAAATTTGTGTATATTTAATAATAGAGAAATTTTCTAGGATAGATCTAGAATTTTTTTTGTTACAAATAAACTTAAATATTTTATTAAAATAAGTAAATATACACTTATACTCCTAGGGTTAATTAATCTAGACATTAGGGTTAGAGTTAAGAAGTGACTTTTAGGGTTTAAGGTTTAGGATTTAGGGATTAAGGTTTAGGATTTGGGGTTTAGAGTTTAAAAGTGGAGTTTTGGAGATAAGATTTCAAATTTTTAAAAATAAAATAAAAAATTAAAATTTTCAAAAAAAAACTACTATTTTGGTCATTTTAGTTTTTAGCTCTATTTTTGTGACAAAAACTTAAAAAAAATATTTAGTTACAGAATTACTCTTAATAATAACTAAGTTTATGCTTTAAAATAATAAAAACTAAATAAATGAAATGGTCGAACGTAAAATACTTGTGAGTAGATAAATATTATTTATGTTTTAATAGTATTGATTTATATATTATTTTTTTCCTCTCTTTGTAGATAAAAATAGGATTCCCCTATATTTTACTCAATATCTAGAATTTGCTATATTAGAAAAATACATGAATCAAAAACCAATTTTATTATAGAGTTTTAGAGGAGAAAATAACAAAATCTATAGGAAATGGTCTTAAGAAAATTTAATCTATTTTTGATAATTTTTATAGTATTCGTCTTAGATCAGTTGATATAATATTTTTTAATGATAGATTTGGCGAGAAAGCAGGAAGAAGAACCAATGAGATCTCAAGGAGACTCAGTTATTTTCGAAGATCAATCAAATCCAGAAGATTCTTTCTACTAGCTGAAGAGACGATGATGATTAGCTCTTCTTCTGTGCGTGTCGCGGCTGCTTTCTTCCTTGTCCTCCTCTTCCTCGTCAACGTCGTTCGCAGCGAGGTTTAACCTTTTCTCCTTGACTTGATCTCTGCGAATCTAACAGTTTCCCGAAAACAGGATCGCATTGTTGTAAAACTATTAGCTTTATGAAACTGACTAATTGGAACATTGAATTTCTGTTTCACTTCATTAATGATTTGATGTTTGCTTGAATCAAATTGCCACAGGAGTGCTCAAGAAAATGCATTGCGCAGAATTGCGACAGTAAGCTTCAATCTGTTACTTTTTGCGTTTTAGCTACTTACTTGCGTTATATATTTATTTATTATTGATATCGTTTGTTTTCAGTTCTTTCTATTCGGTACGGGAAGTACTGTGGGATTGGACACTCTGGATGTCCTGGTGAGGAGCCTTGTGATGATCTTGATGCTTGTTGTATGGTCCATGACAGCTGCGTTGAGGCAAATGGTAAATATCATTCAATAATGCAAATACCTTACTGTTTTCATGATTTTAGAATGCAAATTAATCAAAAGGTTCACTACCCTTGTTGTTAGTTTTGGGTTTATCATTTGTTACTACGAACTGCAGATGGTTAACGTTTTGCTCTTTAGCTGACACGCTTACGCTCAAACCTTCCGTTGGTGATTTATTTCCCAATTTTTGGCAGGTATGACTAACATAAGCTGCCATAAGAAGTTCAAGAAATGCTTAAACAGGCTAAGCAAATCGATAAAACAATCCAAAAACAAAAAGGTTGGCTTTTCCAAACAATGCCCTTACTCGCAAGTCATACCAACGATGAATCAAGGAATGGATATAGGCATCATGTTCAGTCAACTAGGCAATGATATGAAAACCGAGCTCTGAGTTTCCGCTTATTGGAGGCATCACATTGGTCCTTTGTAGCTTTAGAAGATTCTTTGGTGATGTACGATTACCTGTATTACTATTGCCACTGAAAATCGCAGCTCGATTAACTTAATTCAAACACCACCGGTAATTTTTTTGACATGTTTTCTTGGGGGAAACTATAAGCATCTGATAACACTGTTGTCTTGATAAGAAATCTCTTATCTATTCTTGAAGTCAAGTTATGAATTATGATCAAGATATCACGTTTCAATTTGGTTGAATATTATATAATTATCAAACTTTAATGTCACTATTAGTCTTTAAATCTATTGTAATTGTTCCTTATAGCTCTGGCGACATTTTAGAATTGGGATGGTGTTATAAAACAAATCTTGCATCTGCATCAAGCATGGCAATGGCATACATCCACAATCATGTTTAGTTGTATAGTTGACAACTCTCAAGCATTTTGTATATCATGTTTCAGCATGTTGTGAATTGGAATTGATCTTTCTCAATAGGTTAATACTGAGCCATCGCTTGAGGTTAAACAATATTGCATATTAGTTTCTGTCCTCTACTCTAGGAAGTAGTTACTCAACGGTCACTAAACATCCTTTTTTTCTTGAGGTTTCATAAAACCTTTCTAGCTTCAAAAATTGGAGAAAACATGTTGTTTTACCACGCTTTCTTACATAAGTAGGACTAGGTTACATGATTCTTAAGAAAGGCAAAACATTCATACTTGCTTAGAAATCCATAAGAGCGTTGAAACTCTTCATTGTCTCCAATTCCTAGGAGCCTAACTCTTCTGACATTGTAGTAGAATATGTAGAAGGGTTGGACCTTGATTGCCAACACCACGCTTGTGACAATAATGATCTCACCAGCTTTACTCGTGCCTTGGAAAGACATTCCGCGGCAAGAAACAGAATCCCACGCAGAGGAGGGAAACACACATGTTTGCTTTTACCATTCTTGTTACCAATCCTCAACAACAAGGTTGTATCATTTGACTTTAGTATGTTTTGAGTTAAATTCATTTAAATTTGAGTGATATTAGTATCCAATAGAAATCCCTCTAAACTAGTGAAATGATTTCACATATGTCATCTCTAAAATCACTTTCACCAAAGAATGTGAAATGATATATTAGAATTGATGACATGACTTATGGTTAAATATCACATAAACAAACTACATTTATTATTAAATTTAATTTTTGGTAATCTTTGAGAATATAGTAATAACTCATAAATCATCATTAATATAAATATTTTTAAAATTTCATTAAATAATATAATAATAGAAATAAAAAAGAGAAATTCTCTAGGATAGACTTAAGAAAGTTTTTGTCACAAATATAAACCTTAAAAATAAAAATGACCAAAATAAAGTTAAATTTTGTTATCAAAAGAAGTAAATATACACTTATAACCCTAGGATTATTAATCTAGACATTAGGGTTTAGAGTTAAGAGGTGAGGTTTAGGGTGTAGGGTTTAAGGTTTAGAGTTTATGGTTTAGAGATTAGGGTTTAGAGTTTAGGGTTTAGATTTGAGAAGTGGGATTTCGGGATAGGATTTCAAATTTTAAAAAATAAAAAATTAAATTAAAATTTTCAAAATAAAAAATGCTATTTTGGTCATTTTATTTTTTGAGTTCTATTTTTATGACAAAACCTTATCTATTTGAGAAAATTGTCCAGTAAAAATGGTTAAAATAATAATATAAATAAAAATATATTTTAGATCAATTGTATTTATCCTATGGGTTCTACCTTATCATTGATTGAAAGTTGTTCTTGCACTTAGTTTTTAAATACATAATAACCAGAACATTAATGAAAAAACTTGACAATGTGGTGGGAACTAGTGCAGATAAATATTTGGAAATATTTCAAATATGTTACATTTTATTTTACTAATTATTTTATTAAATAGGTGATTTTATTGTATTGCTTTGGTGTGTATATAGGTTTTATGGTTTTCTTATATATAGCCGTTTAGACTTTAATTGGTTTGCGTTTAGTTTATGATTTGATTCATAAAAGAAGAGTTTGAAACCCTTTATTTTCTTGTTACGGCTAGAACTTGAGAGTTCTCAGCAAAACAAAAGGACATCAATTATTAGGTTTTTTAGATCAAATAAGATCGTTGTGTTATTGTAGCTTCCGCTGCACCAGACACACATTTACATAATTTGTGCAAACATATCCATTATTTCTCTTATAAATTATTTACAAATAAATTTCTTAATGTTGTTTTATTTTCAACTTTATTATTAAAATGAGATCAAGGAGAGGACTACTGGCCTTGAAGATCTAGATACACAACTATGAAAAGTTGGAAATGACTTACATTTACATCCCCCATTAGTATATCGACCCACATGAGTTCACCACCACGTTTAACATTTATGGCCTTCCAGAACCGCAGAAGCCTAGCCTCGACGATGAAGGAGCGCTTGCTGGACTTCAGATCGGAGGAAAAATCCCTCGAATCAGCCATGTCAAAAGTAATCAGAATGAGATATAAGCGTTACGAAGTTAAGATGAGATCAATGAGAGGACTACTGACACATATTTAAATAGAGATCACCGCTAATCATACCAAAACAAAGCATTGAAGACAACATAGTGTGGGAACGAATCAATGTGATTAAACACGAAGCCTTTATGCAGACCGTTTCAGATGGTGAGAAGAAGCGCAAACGGCATCAGGCCGCCGTCGCAGGAAGAGGAGAGACGAGCTTCTTGGTTTCTTGTCTACGGATGTATTAAGGTTAGGGAGACATTGACTTAATCTGGCCGGAAACACTTGCCAAGTCCAAAACCTAATCCCAAACAAAGGAAAGAAGCCCACGACGGTCCTAAATGCATTAAACAGCGCATCCTAAATACCAAGACACGTGTCAAATTGCCAGCGCCCGACTTTCGGACGTGGCAGACGACGTGGAGAAGGAACGAAGAAAACACTCTTTTATATATATATAGACATAACAATAACAAGTTAAAAATATCAAATACTCTTGTAAGGGTAAAATTAGTATACTAATTATGTAAGTTTTTTTTTTAATTCTTAGTTGTATATTAACTTAATGTCTCTCTATATATATGTGGTCATTTGATGAAGTATCAATAAATTTGAAGATTTTTAAATATCCTATTAACCAATATAAATAAATATATGTTTTACACTATTTTAATCATTGCAAGACAAAATAGTTACCATGACATTCAATAAATTTGAAAAACACAATTTACACTTCAGCATTACTAAACATTAAATCAATGAATAGTAAGTTTGTGCATATATTTTATCAGCGGCCTTGACACTCTATCAACTCCTTCTCGACTTGATCTTAGCAGTGATCACAACCTTCTTACAGACCTTGACTAAGCCATTTACCTATTAACCTTTTGATTGCATCATCTGCAGTTTGCAATTTGGTTCTTGGTTGAGTTTTATGGTCTGAAAATAAAAAGTTAGTTCTTTTTTTTTCTTTCTGAAACACAAACTTATATTAAAAACTCCTCAAAAGTTAGGTAATACAATTAAAGGCAATCGCTGGATCTACAACAGTGCCCCATGGAACATTTTCCACACAAATAGCTTTATCTTTGGCGTTGTTTTTTTTTTTTTTTACTCAACAACTTATCATTAGGCAAAAGTGAATACATGATTACAACCTCAAGAGATTTTCAACCCAACATACAACTGACGAGATCTAGTATCGCCTAGGAACACGGAGTCGAAACTGGAGTGGATCCTAGACTACCCAATCTAATTCATCAGTGGATTTTTCACCACAATGAATCGAGTTCATCCCACGATTCGAGATGAACTGATTCTTAACCCCTAAAATAGACCAAATGAGATAACAACAATGAAACCCGAAAGCAATTAGATTAAAACCAGACGAGAAGATATGACCAACTACATTGGGCTTCTAAAGATCAGATTTAAGGACAGGCCCAAATGTCTCTTCACCTTTCAGTGCGCGACTGGTCAGAGTTAATCGTCGTCAGGGCACTGTTCCCTCCTTAGCCAAAACCAGGAGAAACCCGTAGTGAAAAGCGGGTCTGACAACGTCCCCATGACTGGAACATATATGGTTTTTGATGACGTGAGGTTCCACCATCGAACAAAACAACGGCCGTCGACGCTGGTATGTGAAACCCCACCGCGTGCTTGCTGTAGAGATCCTTTCCCGGTAGACTCTCTCCGGTGAAGAGACTCCCTACGACGCGTTATCTATGAGAACCGTAGAACAGATCCATCTTCCACCTTCCGTCTCGTCTCTCCTCCGATTGACTCACCGCCACTCGGGCCTGTAGATCCAAGATGGAGGAGGTTTCCCACTGAGCCACGCGCCATCGTCGTGAGGGAGCACCCAGATCTAAAAGTTGAAAATTGATCCGTTTACTCCAACTCAACCCTAAATGCCGACTTGTCCTCACCTCCGCCTTCCTAAGCCTCACCGCTCCTCCAAGATCACCATTAGTTACGCCTTTGACACAAAGTCTCCGGGATCCCGCCGGTGAACCAGAACAGCGAGCATATTGACTAAGGGAGATGGCAGAGAGGAAGAAGGCAAAGAAAAAAAGAAGAAAGGGAGAGGAAGGAGCCCTCCGGTACCGACCACTCGCCGGACCAGAGGCAACAACGAAAGCCTTTTTTTTTTAGATCTAGAGATGGAACAAAGCGTATTCTAGAGAGAGAAAGGGAAAGAGGAAATAATGAAAAATCTTTGGCATTGTTTGTAGCTTTCTTACACACTTTCTCCAATTGATTGTAACCATAGTTTTTTTTTCTTTTTTTTTATTGAATTCAAAATAAAAATTTAGTTCAGTTCATTCTTTTTGTGTAAAACAACTTAGTTCATTACTGATATGTTTTCTTTACCCGAAACAAAATAAATCCCCAATATACTAATCATGGAGCATTACAACATTTAAGTGTAACCACTTGTCATCACTGAGATCACTCTTAAAATTTCTTAGAAAAGTATGTTGGTCCATATAAAGTATACTTTTTTATTCTTTTATTAAATTAACTATCAAAATGATTTGTAGTGCATAAAGAATATTTTTCATTCTTTCCTTAAGTAATACCTACGGAACTACCTAAGGGCAATTCTCTCAAATAGCCATCTTTTAAGTTTTTATCACAAAAAGAGACCTCAAAAATTAAAATGACCAAAAAAAGCATTTTTTATTTTGAAAATTTTAAGTTTTTTTAATTTTTTAAAATTCAAAACCCTATCCCTAAAACCCCATTCCTTAACTCTAAACAAAAAAATATAGGATTAGTTAACCCAAGGGTACAAATGTATATTTAATAAAACATTTAAGTGT